ATCTATATCTATCTATCTATCATCTATCTATATCTATCTATCTACCTACCTACCTACCTACCTACCTACCTACCTACCTATCAATCTATCAATCTATCAATCTAATCTATGGTATCATCTTCTCTTATCTCTATGAAATCTCACCATCTTGTGTGACTCTGGCCAGCTTTCATAGTTACACACCTTTCCAAAATTATGGCTTATCTGGTGAGCCATGTATTTATTTATATCCTGCTTCTTAATAAAACGCCTGCAAAGATTTAATAAATTTCAAGTATGCCAAAAATATAGGACTGCTCCACCAAATATCTCAAACCAGTTTCTCTAAATTGGGCTATCTATTCTGGGCTGCAGAAATCCACAGACTCCCTCATACCTTTTCTGAGTTCTCTTCCTGTATTTTAACAGCACTTAGCCCAAGTTTTTTTAAAAAAATCAAATAAAATTTGGCCAATGATAGCTGAATGGTGAGCTGGGAAAAAAGGGGGTTTATTTTTAATACTTTTTTTTCATATGGCATCTACCGAGGTCATGCAATCTCTGATATACAAATATAAGTTTAAATAAAGCATCAATATGTATACATATAGAAATACATATACACATATATTGTCGTAAGTCGAGGGCTGCCTGTCTCCTGCCTTTTATTACAAAAAGAATGGTGCACATTCTGAAACATGAGATGCTTAACATAAGCACAGATTACAGCAACTGGGTTACGAGAAACGCCAGGGAGGGATTTTTATGATCAGAGGGAGAGATTATCTGTCATTATCTGTCACATTGGAAAGATCGGATTATCAACAGCTTCCTATTTTTTTCCTGCCAAAAGTTTGAATATTGGATTGAGGAAGGAGAGAATTCTCCTGCTGAAGTTGATAAGCCATTCTATTATTCTATTCTATTCTATTCTATTCTATTCCCTTCTCTTCTCTTCTCCTCCCGTCCCCTTCTCCCCATCCCCATTCTGCCTTTGTTTGGTGAAGTGCTGAAATAGTTGCATTAAAATGTAGAGCTGATTTATGGTTTTAAATAGAATGTGTGTGTGTGCATGTGTGGATAGATAGATGATAGACAGATAGATAGATAGATAGATAGATAGATAGATAGATAGATAGATAGATAGATAGATAGATAGAATCTGCCACTTAGAACCATTTGTTTAGAGACC